GGTGGGAATGAAGCTAGTTCAATCTTAGTGAAAAATAGTGCGGTATTTTCTCTAAGAACTAAAAATTGAGGTTCCATATGATCCAGAAATCCCACTTCTAGGGATACACTCAGAGGAACAAAAATCGCTCTCCCCAAAAGACACCTGCACACATATGTTTCACTACAGCACTATTCATAACAGCAAAAACATGGAGCCAACCCAGATGCCCATCAAAAGTGGACTCGAGTTTTTAAAAATGTAGTGCATATACATTGGCTTGAACATTACGCAGCCATAAAGAAGAACAAAATCATGTCCTTTGTAGCAACATGGATGCAACTGGTGACCATCTTACTTACTAAGTGAACTATTTCAGAAACAGAAAACTGAATACTGTATGTTATCACTCATAAGCAAGCCCTGCTCCCTGGTCACATGAGCCAAAGGTGGGAAAAACAAATATTGGACACTGCTAAAGAAGGGAGAGAGGGAGAAGGGATTAGGGGCACACAACACCACGCTGGGAACCAGGTCCACTATCAGGACTACAGAGGGCCTGCTAGAAGCCCAAACCTTACCTGGATGAGATTTAGTCATGTAGTGAATCCTTATATGTACCCCACAACTCTAAAACAATAAGATATATAAAAACAGAAATATATAATGAGTCAGTTGGTGATTAAGTTGCTATAAAAAACAGACTGGCAAAAGGAATAGGAATTGATGGGGTAGATTCGTGGAGTTGGAAAGACCTGATATGACGGGATGCTGAGCAAAGATATGAAAAGAGAGATGAAGGCAAGGCTGGGGAGGGAAAAATGTTCAGTCTCACTAATCTTCAGAGAAATACAAATAAAAACTACAGTGAGATACTACCTCATACCGGTAAAGATGGTGTGGGAGTACTTTTTTGTACTATTCTTTGAGAAAAAAAATAATGGGAATAAAAGACATAGTTGGAAATAACTAACCTAGAGTATCTTGATTTCAGTAGCTGCTATTTTGTTGCCCAAACCAGGCAGTCCTAGTCAACATGTGGCCTGTTGTCACATAGATAGAAAATACACCACTTACTTCTGCGTCAGGCAGAGATGAACTTCATTAGAAACCAACAGTGGTAGATTGGACACAGGCACAAACTTCATTTTTAAGTTTCATTTTTAATGAAATTTTAATATCTGTTCTCATAGTGATGGTCTCATAGGCAATCACTTGGCTTTGATTACTTGTGGCCTAAAGCATCCATGGAATCCATTAGAATGGGTAACTAAGAATTTATGGATTTGTACTCCTACAGCTACGCATACCAACAGGAGCTATACAGGACACCTCAGAATGAGCAATATGTATCCTCAGGAGGAAGTCTCTCTGATGTCATCATGGGAAATCCCTATTATGTCTTCCAAAAGCAAACAGAAGACAAAGTTCATGCAAGGACTTAAAAGGGCAAACCATTTCCTATTCTTATTGGGAGTTTCAGATTGGGGCAGTTACTCTGGGCCTCAGGTTGTCCATGATAAAAATAGAATTCGTAATAGTGAGTTAATATATATACGCACACACAACTCTTTTTTTGGTAGAGATGAGGTCTTGCTATGTTCGGGCTGGTCTTGAACTCCTGGCTCAAGTGATCTTCTTACCTGGGTCTCCAAAAGCACGAGGATTATAGGTGTGAGCTACTGCACCTGTACTAAATGCTACATCTTACTTAGTACGCATTTTTTTCCTTGATAGATGGGCATGTGTCATATCCCTAGAGGTGACATGATAAGAGTATTTTCACTTGTTATCTTACAAAATCATTTTTGAAAATTCATTATAAAAGTATCTTAACACAAGTATCATAAAAGTTGTGAGCCTCTAGTAAATCTTGCTTAAAGCATATTTTCATTTGGGGGAAATTTTTTAGATTTCCTGCTAGTTTTTGCCATTGCACTACAAATTGGTTGAGTTATAAATGTCTCCTCTTTCTTAAAGATGTTTTCACTTTTAACCTGAAATGGTTATTTCCTAAATTAAAAAACATCCACAAATTCATGTAAAATGAGAGATGAGTGATAGATAACATAAAAAATAGATGACTTGCATTTGGTATAATCTTGTCAATTCTATTCCCAAATTATATCTTTAAAATACTCCTCTACTCTTTTATTGCCACTTCCCTAGTCAGCCTACCATCATGACTTACCTTGGCTAGCTGTTATAGTTTCTCAGTGGCTTTCTTGCTTTCTTTAAGCTATTCTATAGAAAATGGTCAAAAGTGATCTTTAAAAACCCTAAATTGGATTACATTGCCTGTCCCACTTCCCAGCTGACGACTTTCACTTAAATTAGATCCATGCTTTTAACTTGTCTCATAAGATTCTTTAACCTCACTTCACATAGCTCTCCCCTCACTAAAACCACAGGGCTTCCTCTGTTTTTGCTTTTTTCTCCAAAACATCTTTCCTACCTTTCATCTTCTAGACACAACACTAACTGAAATTGCCACCTCCTTACTCTTCATGTCTTAGATTTATGTCACTTCAGTGAGGACTTTCTTGAAGTCTATCTAAAGACTTTCTATTCAGCATCCTCAAAGCTAATCAAGACTTGAAATTCTTTATATTTATTAGTTTTATTTCTATCCCCCACTGAACAATAAACTCCACAATAAACTCTGATTTCCTCATAACTATACACCCAAGTCATAGAAGTCCAGGTACACAGCAGTTCAATACAGTCTTTGATCAAAGAAATGAATAAACCAAAATGCACAAAAAAGCTAAAAAATAAAGATTAGAGTCACCCCAAAATGGGTCCGTTAATTGCTTGTTATGTGTTTAATGTTTTTGAAAGTCAAATCACTTAAGACAATTAATACAAATTAACCTAGGAAGCATACATAGAGCAATGGTAGCACTAACAGATCTACCATATGACCCAGCAATCTCCAATTTGGGTATATACCTGGAGGAACTCAAATCACTCTGTGAAAAAGATACCTGCACACGCATGTTTATTGCAGCATTATTCACAATAGCAAAAACGTGGAACCAATCGTGCTGCCCATCAAAACTGGACTGGATGAAAAAAATATGGTACATATACATGACAGAATATTATGCAGCCATAAAGCAGGACAAAATTATGAACTTTGCAGCAATTTGGATGGACTTAGAATCTATAATACTCAGTAATCTATCACTGAAACAAATAACTGAGTACCACATGTTCTCACTCATAAGCGGACCCTGAACAATTCTCATAAAACTATAAGAAAGGGATTGGCAGTAGTGGGAAACTGCCAAGGGAGCAGGAGGAGGGGGTGGGGGTACACTTCATCAATAAGGGTACCTGATCTCAAATCAAGTGAAGGAGGAACCAAAGTGAGGCCCATACTTTACCTGTACAATGACCATTTGTATGCCTAGCCCTAAATTATACCCCACATCTTTAAAATAAAAAAAATCATTTGTATAATGATATGGGTATATATTAAATAAACATGAGCTAGTACATTGGCAATAAAGAAGAACTATCATTTACCTGATCTGTACAGAACTGAATTCAACTTGTCATTTCTGGCACTACTGAACAAGTATATTAGTACATAAGACCTTGATGACTAAGAACAAAATCTGTCATTTCTTGAGTTTCTCACTCAAATACAAATTCTCTTCATAAAACTTTATGAAATTTCGAAGTAGTTTAGTCTATTTTTAAGGTAGCTAAAATAAGTAAAATAGAGCAGGAAATTCATAAGCTGTATTATAATTATCAATCTCAGCTTCTTTTGCCACTTTTACCTCAGTTGTTTTTTGGTTTTTTTTTTTGAGTTGGAGTCTCACTCTGTCGCCCGGACTGGAGTGCAGTGGCCGCTCCTGGCCACTGCAGCCTCGACCTGCTGGGCTCCGGCGATCCTTCCGCCTCAGCCTTCCGAGTAGCCGGAATTACAGGTGCACGCTACCACGCCCGGCTGATTTTTTGATTTACTGTAGAGATGAGGTCTCACTGCCCAGGCGGGTCTCGAACCCGCAGGCTCAGGCAATCCACTCACCTCAGCCTCCCAAAGGCGCGGGATTACAGGCTGAGCCACCGAGCCCGGTTTACCTCAGTTGTATTTAACTTTCATTCCTTCTCTGTGAACGTGTCTTTCAGATTTTCCCAACTAAGTTTTAGAATTTTCTCCCTAATTAATATCTCATGAAACTCTTCCAGATTGCCTCATATTTTTCCCTACAGTTTTATTCTATCAACTTGAATGCACTTATACTTTTAAAACATTTAAAATTAACTTTTTTGGCCTTCTACAGTGGCTCATGCCCGTAATCTCAGCACTTTGGGAGGTGAAAGTGAGAGAATTACCTGAGCGCAGGGGTTTGAAACCAGCTTGGGCAACTTGGTAAGACCTCATCTCTACAATAAATAAAAAAATTAGCAGGACATGGTGGCATTTGCCTGTAGTTCCAGCTATTTGGAAGGCTGAGGCAGGATTTTCTGAGCCCAGCAGGTTGAAACTACAGTGGTTGTAAGCATGCCACTGCACTCCAGCTTGGGTGATAGAGTGAGACTTCAATCTCAAAATAACAATAATTATAATATTAATATTTTCTTTAAAAAATCAGCTTTTTCACTGGTATTATGTCAACTGCATTAGAAGAAATTCAAAGTCTGATGCCTTCAATGTATATGATCAGAGCACCAAAAACCAGCATAGAATATATTCATTTGTACTGGGCCTTGGCAATCTCAGTGAAGTAGAACAGTTGCTCACCACCAATGAACTGTGGCCAATAAACAAAGGTGAAGTATAGGATGAGGTGAGTCAAGGACCCAAAAGCATCACAGTCCAGATCATTGTTGAGATATAGATGTGTGCCCTTCACCTCTTCATATTTTATGAGAGGCAGTGTGTTATTGACAAAGGAGAACTAAAACGATTATTACAGAACAAAGCTACTAATTCTAGACCTGGGACAAACATCCTGAGCTGTGTTTCAGTGTTCTCGTCTGTTACTTAGCATCCATCTCCTTACCAGAGCTGCTGCAGAGAGATGGGTCAACAGGTCTTCCATTTTTATCAGAGCAGGATACAGCTTGAAAACGCAAACCTTCTCCACATTCTTTGCTGTCTCCCTGTACCCACAGTCCTCGTGAAGGCTCTCTTCTGGCTTCTGGAAGAATGCAATTTGACCAGTTTCCATAAGATTGAGATAAAAAGGCATCACAAGGACATGGTTTCTTCTCCACTAGAGGGTACAGGTCAGCATCCTGGCATTTTTCCTTTTTTCTGCTTTTCCCTGTTCCAACAAGAAACACCAATATATAAATTTTGTATCTGTTGGTTTGTTAAAGTCACTCATATTTTTGTACTTACAGACTCTTACAATATTAAACCTTAAAAATAAACCTTTCTTTTTTCACTCTTTTTTTTTTTTCCTTATAGAAGTAAATCCTAGGACAATGAAAGCAACTCCTAGGACAACTGTGAAATTCAAGTTAATTTGGAAAAAAAAAAAGGTTTCATCTTGGAGAGTGGCACAAAATACTTAGACGATGTTTGCTACAGTGGGTCAACAGCTAGAAAATTCTGGTTAATTTATTTAATATTATTTTCTCTATAATTTACTGATAAAAAAAGACTGATTGCCTTGTCTTTATTCTCCTTGAAACTAATGGTTGCCAGGGAAACCAAAGAAAGGCTCTAAGTATTAATTCCCTCCCTTTGTCTTCAAGTAACTTTTTAAAAACAGGATTTATTTATTCAAGAAGCAAAATGATATCCTCCCACACAATGGCCTTGGAGTGACAGTAGGGGTCTTGGTTGTGGTGAACAAAGTTCAACTCATTTTTTCCCTGCTATCAGACAGCTCCCAAATGGTGATACAAACAATAAATTGAAATAAATAATCAAATCATATTGGACAATTGAATCTGAGAAAAGGCTATGACTTCCATTTTGAGAGATTCTTCTAATTAGAATACTCTAGAATATGATTTTACCTTATTAATTCGTTTTGATGGACCTTTTAGCTCCAACAACTTTGAGCAAGGCAATGCAGTATCATTTTCCACAGCTATGAATACTTAATAATCATGTTTAGTGGATTCTAAGTCAGCCTGTAACTTGATTCAACTTTGCTGCCAATACACTTTCTATAGATTACTAAAAACAAATATCTTAGATCTAATAATTCTACCTTTTGTTTTTTCATTAGTGAGTCATTAGCTAGAGTCATGCATGCAAAAAATGTAGGCAGCTTTAGCTTTATTAGACTATTTCCAGTGTTTATAGCTGCTTTAGAAATACCTGATACAAGTTGATACATGAGCTACTTTCTCATTGTCAGAAGGTTTGCACCACATAATTCTGCAATTGTTGGCTGGATAAATGACTCTCTGCTGGGCTACAGTGCTTATGTCCACAATAAATAAGAATCCTGAAGAATCTGGAATTGATCTGGCAGAAGCTTAAGCCACACCTCTGTCCCTCTGGGAGGGGACATTCACTTGCTTCTACCACTAGAATATAAATACTAAATATTTTATTTGCCATTCAAATTTGGGAGACGCAAACGTTTTATGTTCTGAAAATAAAATATTTTCATTTACTGATTTCATGGGGGCTTGGGTAGAAAAACTATATTGCGTAGACATTAAGGTGGCTAAGCATCCTTCAGTGTATATGCAGACAAAACAAAGTTCTAGGGTTCTGAGAAATCATACGAGGAAGAACTATTACAATGTTGTTAGAGCTGGAGAAATATAGTCTAGGCAGATAGTACAGATATGCGAGGACATAAAGCCCTTAAGAGGTTGGTATATCTGATGGAAGCACAATCATGAGAATATATTGGTTGAGAGATACATCAATGGGTAGTGATTGGCTCATTTCTATCAGTATTTAGCATGTCCAACTCCCCATTCTTCCCAAATTTCCATAAAGTACTGTTGAAATCCCCTGTTTCCGTCTCTTCAATTTCCACTCTCTTCTCAACCCACTTAACCCTGGATTCTGAATTTATTTATTCCTTGAAACCACTGTTATCAAAATGATCAGCCAAACAAACAACGGCAACAAAAAACAAAGTCCTAGAATATCTTTTATTCCTTATTTTCAGACTTGATCACACAATATTTGTTTAAAGTGCTGACTACACCCTCAATCTTGAAACAGCCTTTCCAAGTTCCATCATACCATACGTTCTTGTTCCTTACCATCACTCTACACCCCCACCCTCTCTCTGGCCACATATCTCTGACTTATTTATTTGGTGAATTCTTCTTCCTCTCTACTTCTCTTAACTGGTAATGTTCCTCAGAACACCATTTTAGGTTCTCTTTTGATTCTACATCTTCACCCACTTGAAGAGTTTAAATTTCTGCCTTTATTTTTTTTCCCCCAAATTATTATTTCATTGCAGATTTCACACTCAAGCTTCTGATCTGTAGACTGGAAATCTATACCTATACAAACAACTGAACTCAATATGATAAAACCCACTATTATCCTCTTCAGCACACCTTTCTTCTGCTGCTTTTCCCAGTGCAACTACATCAAAAGTTGGAATGTCTTAAATCATTCTGTTGAATGCCTTACAGCTGACTAATGACAGAGATACAACACTTCAAATGCTTAAAGATCTCTTGAATCAGTCCATGTGCTTCCATTCCAACGAATACCATGGTATTTAGTCCCACCTTCAAATCTTCAGCTTGGATTACTACAATAAGTTCCTCCAAGATCTGCTACCATACCTTACTTCCTCCAATCTGTTCATAGCATTGCAGTCAGAGCCAACCTTCAAACATGTAAATTTGATCATACGTTTTTACCACTTAAAACTCTGTAGTGGCCTGCCACGGTTCATAGGATGAAGTCCAGACTCTCCTCCTTGGATCTTCAAGGCTTCATATGATTTGAACCCATTGGTATCTGTCTCCTGGCTACATTGCACCACTCTGTCTCCAGCGTGTTACAATCCAGTCATACTGAGCATCATTTGGCTTCTGGAATTTGCATGTGTTACTCAGATATTTCAATAAATTACTGCCTCCCTCTTCAGTGCCTATTTGTTTTTCAGGTCCAAACTAAAAGGTTACTCTCTCCAGAAAGCCATCTTTGAACATGGAAGAATAGTTAGAGAATTGCATTTGCTGGCTCTGAAGATGCAGAAAAGCATGTGCCAAGGAAAGTGGGTGGCCCTCTACCAGTTTGAAAACAAAAGAAAAGAAATGATCTCTTACAGCCTTCAAAAAAGAATGCAGCCCTATCAGTGTCTTGTCTTCAGCCCTGTGAAACCCTTGCCAGACTACATACCTACAGAAATGTAAAATAATACATTTGTGTTGTTTTAAGCCAGCAATGTTGTGGTAATTTGTTACAACAATAGGAAATGAATATAGCACCCAATACAACAGCTACTGTAGCAGGGAGCATACTATACTATGATGTAATTATCTCATTATGGCAGTAAAAAAACTCATCATATCTTCAATTGGACCGTAAGGTTTGTTGAGGTCATGTTTACCTCCTCTCTTGTAGTATTTGCAAGGTCTAGCACGTATATGTGGTAAACAAAAAATGTTTGTTTAGCAATTAAGAAAAGAGAGTTATAAGAAACAGGAAAAAGGGAAGGAGGAAGAAAAAAAGAAAAAAGAGAAAGACAGACAGAGGAAGGAAGAGGAAAAGAAGAAGGAGAAGGAGAAAAAAAGAAAATTTTTATCTACAAAGCAACCAGAAGTTACTAGCAGAACAAATATTCTGCTTAAATATGCGCTGTCTCTATGTTTATGATATCCTTCTTAATTGCATGGCACCACTATTTGAAGAAGGATTTTAGAAAGTTAGTTAATTCGGAAATTGTTCTCACAATAGAAAACAAATTATCAGCGGTCCTTTATTTTGATTATATTCTAATCAAAATCAGTTTTAACTTTTGGACTTAGAACAAATTAGTACTAAAAAAGTTAATCCCGAGTACAACTCTAAAGACTTTTCCCTTAAATCAGAGTACGTATTAGTTATCTAGATATTTTGAATATATATTTACATAAAACCTGAATAGATTTTCGATTTAATAAATTGAATCTTTTCAGCACTGTATAAACAGCTGCTTTAATTTACCATTCAGTCTAAAATTTATGATGGGTACAACATATAGAACTCAGTTGTTAAAGCCTCTTGTTAAAAAGAGAAAAAAGAAAAATAAACACTCCAGATGCCCCCATATTCAGTGGAGTGGCTGGTATGTGTCTATACGACTTTCTGTATGTGTTTGTGTTAAAGATAAAAATAGTCACATGGTTTTAGAGTCTGAGACCCTGGTTTTCTGCATCATTCATGTTAGAGATTATTTATTACAATTACTGCCAAATTACCTGGGGGATGCCAAAATGCAAGCATCAGTTTCACAACAATGAAAATAAGTCTTAAAAGGTAGAACAATTTCAATTCACTACTGAGTTTTTTTCAATAGTGATACCACATGATTGACTTACTGATTTTTTTCTATAATTAATGTATTTCTTGAAATTGATCAATTTTGTGAAGGCACACAAATATCAATTAGCTGTGTAAGAAAAAAAGTTTCCAATGATCTTTTATTATGAGTAGTTTTGAGGTTAGAGTTTGCAGGCAAATGTGCAACAGTTCTTCAATATTCACATACAAAGTACATTTTAAAGAAAAGTCAAATTCATTAGAGTTCTAACAATTCATAATACAAACTGTGCTGGTTGTAAATTGAATAAATACCCTAGGATTTTCAACATCTTCCATTCTCATTGTGCAGGTGCAAAATATCATTAGCAAATTTTCAAGAGAAAGGAAAAAACTGAACACTAATTAAAAACTTTTTTTTTCCTTCTAAAGGAAATTCACTCTTATCTCAAAGATATAAAGGGTTGCTAGGATCATGGCTTCTGACCCATTATGTATGCACATGCAAGCAATGTTTTGCATGTTTCATTAAACAGTTTCATTAAGTTGGCCGCTGAACTTCAAATTATTCCATACATTCTATCCCATCGTAATGTTTTCCTATAAGAAATTTGTTTTATTTTTTAAATGAGCAACATTGCATTAAATTATATATGCATAGTCTTTTTGTGGAGGAGAGAGCACAAACACAGCACATCTTATTTGATGTTTCTATTTGTGGTTATACATTTCACCTGCACTCACAAATGTGCTTCCAGTTTGTGTGCAGCAATACTGTTAAAGGCTCTAGTCAATGAAGTAAGGCCATTACAGTGATTTAAATTTAAAATATGATCAGATAGGTGATGCATTCAGGCAAAGGGGTCTTGAAACCAAGAGAATTAGCACTTAAACTGCTCAGGAGAACAAATGGTCATTTGTGCTCAATTCTTCAATGTCAACACCAATTTTATTATCTCAATGATTATTCTGGCATTTTTCCTTTGGTTCTCTATTCCTTGAATTAAGTTATCTATATTAACTACAAATACATATGCAGTTAAGAAAGTTGTGGCATATTTATCTAGGCATGTAGTAAATGTACTGCTGCATCAATTATTTGTATATTGCAGGCAAAAAATTGCTCCAGGACTTCAATTAAACTATTAGTTGCTTTAATTTCCATTAAATTTCACAGCTGTAAATAGAACTGATAGTTAATAATATACCACAAAAGCAAAATCTGTATATGTAACATGGTTTTGGCCTTACACTACTAAAATTTTAAAATGTCAAATTGCTTACAAGGTAATGGCAAAAGACAATAATGTCGGTTACATTTGCCTTAGACATTCTTTCCAAATCAGTAACTGCTTTCAAGCATGTTGAGATCCTGGTATTACAAAATACTAGAAACTTTGGCATTAAATACTCAAAAGATGTAGGTGAATAAAATGCCTTTTATGACTACAAAGATTATAAAACTCTATAGAAAGGAACTTGATAGTAATAAAATGGTTCACATCTTTCATTCACATCACAAACACTGAGTACACATTATATATGAGGAATTGCTCTAGGTATTGAGGATATATATGGGGGGATGGGAAGAGAGGAAGAGACTTGACATAAATTCCTGTTTTGAGGAACTTATATTCTATGTGAGAGAATCATGGAGGAACTTATATTCTATGTGAGAGATTCAAGCATAGCTTGCCTGAGCTCAAGAGTGAGAGCCACACCCTACCTGTGAGCTGTCGCCGCCGACTTTGAATGGTATCACAATTTGTGGAGCAGGGTGTAAACTTGGACCAAGCAGTGAAGGTACAGTCTTCTCGACACGGGACCGTGCATTCTTGCACAAGAGGAGGCATGCCATTTGACTGCTTGAGGCATTCTGTCATTTCTGCTGACTGGTTATCATCAGAGATGCATGAGACAGCTAAAAAAAAAAAAAAAGCATGGATTATTTTGTTATTATTCTGATTAAATCAACCTGCTGCTGGATCTTTGACAAAATAGCAGAATCCCCCAATGTTTGAAAATTGGGTTTCACTGTGACTGCAAATGGTGTTCAACATAACTAACCTTATTTCACTCTGGAAATTAAATTTTTACTGTTGGCATTGGAGGTATTTGAGGATTTAATTGGTTTCATTATTAATCCGAACCCTGCACTGACAGCAACAAAAATAACTTCCAGTAATTTATTGTACTTTCTGCTTCTGAGCATCTGATCTTTAGGGATGATATAAAACTAAGAAAGAGAATCTATAAGAGAGTAAAATGAAAACAACAGAAAAGTTTTTAAAATCATATGGACTCTTCCTATATTTGATTTGTGTTTGTTTCCTTGTTTAGACAATACTTATGGTGGTAGTCCTATTTTCATGACACAGTCAGTATTTAAAAAGGAATTTCTGCTTTTTTCTCCTTATTGATACATAAAGATCAGTTAAAAATATTAAATATTTTTTTTCAATCACAGGTATCTGTTCAGATAATTTTCATTACAAACATCTTATCAGTTGCAGACAATGTTTGAAAGTTTCTCTCACATACTTGGCTATGATGTCTCTAGTCATACATAAAATAACTAATAATCTTGAAATAACACATTTTATAAAATTTTAGTTAAATTTTTAGTATATTCCATAATAAATAATGCCATTTATTCTGTTTGATTATGAATGCATGATATTTTGGCACACTTTTACTTTACCCTGATTAATTATGGACTTTCTAAGAATGTAAGTTTATATTCTCTAGAACATTTCTCAACCTTGCACTACTGAAATTTTTGATTGAAAAAAAATTTTTGTGGGTGCATAGTAAGATATTTAGCAGCATCTCTGGCCTGTCCTCTACCCATTAGATACCAGCAGCACACATTTCTTCCAACTTGTAACAACTAAAACATCTCCAGATATTGTCAAATGTCCCCCAGAGCGCAAAACAATCCAGCTAAGAACCACTTTTGAAAGCTGATCCCTAACCATGAATGTCTATGAGAATACACATATTCCATGGTGTCATTTCAGGCCTGCAGTATTAGCATCTTTGGGTGAGAGGTCCAGGAATATTTTTGTCTTAATATGTTCCACATGATTCTGATCCACCCTATCGACTACCCATATTTGGCATGTCATTACACATTGTGTGTATTAATGGATATTTGCTGAGTTAATGGATATTTGCTAAAGAAACCATAGTTTAGAATCATTTTTATTATAGCTCTTTAAAATCACCATGTTGGCCAGGCTTGGTGGCTCAGCCTGTAATCCCAGCGCTTTGGGAGGCCAAGGTGAGTGAATTGTCTGAGCCTGTGGGTTCGAGACCCGCCCAGGAACTTGGCAAGACCTCATCACTACAGTAAATCAAAAACTAGCCGGGTATGGTAGCGCGTGCCTGTAGTTCCAGTTATTTGTAAGGCTGACATGGAAGGATCGCTGGAGCCCAGCAGGTCGAGGAGCATGCCACTGCACTCCAGTCTGGGTGACAGAGTGAGACTCCGACTCAAAAAAATAAAAATAAAATAAAATAAGTAAAATAAAATAAAATCACCATGCGACAAGAAATAAAAAGATCACAGCTTAGGATTAACATTGTTAAGAATTATTTATATAAATTTCTCTAATACAAGGTAAGTATACATAGGGGGAGACTATTCACATGCCCATTTTTCTTACATTCTCAATTTATTTATTATAAGCACATCAGAGAACAACTCTATCTGAATACTTTATATCTATTTTTTTAATTGCTGAAAGCCAAACTTGTCTAATGCTTTAGGGCCAAGGAATTAGCTAAGATAACAATGCTGCACACACAATACTTTCCAGTTTGCACAGCTGCTCCGTGGCAGGTGGAACTATTCATTCATTTTGAATATTTTTGTTTTTATCCACATCCTAGGAACAAAATCCATTGGACACCAAGCCAACATCACCTGCATTTTCTTTGTTGGGGATATTGCTGGCATTAATAATGAATACAACAAAATACTTTGTCTTAAGTAGAGTACAAGCAAATGTTATCTGAATTGGATGTTTAGATAACCAATTGAGAGTCAATTTAGAGAACTTTCATCTTGCCAAGTTAATTTTTTTCCAAGATGACAATGCACTGAAAAACATGAAGAGAAATCTGATATACAAATTTAGGAAAGTTGTAGAATACAAAATAAACAGACATAAAGCAGTCGCATTTCTTCACACCAATAATGAACTAGCTGAAAAAGTAATCAAGAAGACAGTTTCATTTACAATAGCGACAGAAAAATACTTAAAAATGTAACCAAGTAGGCAAACTACCTCTATTAAGAAAACTACATAACTTGAAGAGGTCACAGACAAATGGAAAGACACCCCATGCTCATGGAGCAAAAGAAAGAATATTGTAAAAAATGACCATACTACCCAAAATAATCTAAAGGTTCAATGCATTGCCTACGAAAATACTGATATCATTTTTTCACAATCCTAAAATTAGTTTAGAACCAAAAAAGAGTCATAATAGTCAAAACAATTTTGAGCTAAACGAACAAAGGGAAAGGCATCACACTACTGACTGCAAAATATATTACAAGGCTATAGTAACTCAAATAGCATGGTATTGCTATAAAAAACAGAAACAAAGACTAATGGAACAGAATAGAGAACCCAGAAATAAATTCACAAAAATATTTATAGCCAACTGATTTTTGACAAAGGAGCCAAGAACATACACTATCAAAAGGATATATTCTTTAATAAATAATGCTGAAAAACTAGATATTCAGATGTAAAAGAATCAAACTGGACCCCTTTCTCTCACCATATTAAAAAAAACTCAGAATGATTTAAAGAACTAAGTCTAAGACTAGACTAAGCCTAAGACTAGACTAAGCCTAAGACTAGACTAAGCCTAAGACTAGGCTAAGCCTAAGACTAGGCTAAGCCTAAGACTAGGCTAAGCCTAAGACTAGGCTAAGCCTAAGACTAGGCTAAGTCTAAGACTAGGCTAAATCTAAGACTAGACTAAAAATACTAAAAGAAAATCTAAGAAAAACTCTTCTAGACATTGGTCTAGGCAAAGATTTTATGGTTAAGGCCTCAAAACCATAGGAAACAAAAACAAAAATATATAAATGGGACTATATTGAAATAAAAAGATTTTTCACAGCAAGGGAAACCATCGAATGAGTGAAGAGACATTCTGTTGAATGGAAGAGAATATTAGCAAACTATTCATCTAGCAAGGGACTAATATTCAGAATGTATAAGGAACTCAACTCAACACTAAGAAAACCCAAATAATCTCATTAAAAAGTGGGCTAAGGATCTGAAAAAGTATTTTTCAAGTGAAGACATATAAATGCCCAAGAGGTATATAAAAAATACTCAACTTTACTAATCATCAGAGAAGTTCAAATAAAAGTCACAATGAAATATCTTATACCAGTTTGAATAACTACTGTTAAAAAATAATCATAAATCTGGATGGGGGTGAGAGAAAATGGGATTTTTATATACTGTCAGTGGGACTGTAACAGCCACTATGGAAAACAGTATGGAGCGTTCTAAAAAAAATTTAAAATAGAACTATCATGTGATCCAGCAATCCCACTGCTGACTATTTATCCAAAGGAAAGGAAATCATTATATTAAAGGGGTACTTGCAACCTAATGTTTATTGCAATACTATTCACAACAGCAGTGATAAAAAAAGAATCAAGGTGTACATCCACAGACAAATGTATAAAGAAAATGTGGCATATATACACGAAGGAATACTACTTGATCATAAAAGTAGGGTAAGATCTTTTCATTGCAGCAACATGGATGGAACTGAAGGTCATTATGTTTAGTGAAATAAACCAGGTACAGAAAGACAAATATAGCCTATATGTGGGAGCCAAATAAATTGTATAGCTAGTGGATTGAAAGTTACCAGAGGTTGAGTAGAGTGTGGGATGAGGGGATGAAGAGATCTTGGTGAATGGGTAGAAACATAAACTTAGAAGAAATAAGTTCTATTGTTTGATAGCACAGTAGGGCAATTGTATACAATAGTATATTTCAAAACAGCTAAAAGAAGGGACTTGAAATGCTCCCAACACGTAGAAATGAAAGATACTTGAAGTGATGGATACACTGACTCAATCATTACACATTATATGCATATAACAAAATATCATATGTACCCCATTAAAATAGACATATATTATGTATCAATAAAACAACTTTAAAAATAATTAAGGTGACTCTCCTTTTTTTTTTACTACTACATTTATCAAGTTATGTAAACTCTCATGTTTCAATGAACTCATCCACGTAATGGGATATTAATATCCACTGTATGCGATAAAGTAGATGAAGTGCTCAGGACAAAATTAGGCACTTATTACATTAGTACATGATCCCTGGGAGTTATGTATTCTCATGAAACAAGTACTGGAAATAAAATGTAAGAAATGAAAGGAAAAAAGAGTCTACCATCACCTGTCTTGGTTCTTGGTTCAAGAAGAACTTCTAAATCCCTCCAAAAGCTTCTTGAGCCTTTAAAGACTAGCGACTCCCTTGAATTATAATGCTGACAGCAGCTTCGACTATGAAAAAATACAAATGCACTGTGTGTATGTATGTGTGTGTGTCTGTGTGTGCACACATGTACAAGTATATGTAAATGATATGGCTTCTGGGAAGTCACAGTAATGGTGGTAGACAGAAAATAGTATAATATCATAGTTTCCATAATAGTGATAAGTAGAATGAGGGAACTAGATACTTCAGTCTTTCACGAAAGGGATATATAACAGCCAGGTAGGAAAAATAAACCATTACAAAGAATGTATCTCTCAGACATCTGCTATTCAGTTGAACTCTGAGTCCTGGGTCCTTCAGATCATAGTAAGCCACTTGCAGGCCACAATCTAGAGAAAAGGTTTTTCTTTTTGTGCTT